TGGTGCCCTGTGTCCCTGTACTATATGGAGGGTATACAGGGTTTGGGGGGGTGGTGTAATAGGGGGGTTGTGGGGCCTAATATTGGGATTTTGGGATGAAGGGGTGGGATTTGGTGTCGGAGTGGATTTGGGATCCATGGGGATGATTTCAGCCTTGTGTTGGGGGACACCTTTGCCCCCAAAACAGGGTCCTGTGGACCCCTTCACCCCCAAAATTGGGTCCTATGGGTCCCTTGCCCTCCAGAACAGGGTCCTATGGTCCCCTTCACCCCCAGAACAGGGCCCTACGGTCTCTTTCACCCCCAAACCAGGGACTGATGGATCCCTTCACCCCCAAACAAGGTCCTGTGGACCCCTTTCACCCGCAAAACAGGGTCCTATGGACCCCCTTCACCCACAAAACAGGGTCCTATGGTCCCTTCTCCCCCCAGAATCAGGTCCTATGGGTCTCTTCACCTTCCAAACAGGGTCCTGTGGACCCCCTTCACCCCGCAAAACAGGGTCCTATGGGTCCCTTTCACCCCCAAAATAGGGTCCTATGGACCCCTCCACCCCACGGCAGGGATACAGGACCCAGGTGATGCGGTGCTGGGGCTCTCTTAGGCTTCACCTTGGGTACCTCACCTCAACCCCCCCCCCCTTCAGCCCCAGAGGCCCCCCCCGAGGACGACGCTTCCGCCGCCGCTCCCTCCTCTTCCTCATCCTCTTCGCCATCGCCCTCCTCGTGCTGCCCGTCCCCGGAGGAGCCGCCGGTGAAGGGGCTGGCGGAGGAGGCGGTGCCGGCGGTGCTGCGGGCCTGCGTGAGCATGCTGGGGGTGCCGGTGGACCCCGACACCCTGCACGCCACGCTGCGGCTCTGCCTGCGCCTCACGCGGCACCACAAGCACGCGCTGCTCTTCGCCGAGCTCCGCAGCACCCGAACCATCCTGGGCCTGACGCAGAGCTCCGGCTTCACCGGCTTCACCCCCCTCGTCACCCTCCTCTTCCGGCACATCATCGAGGACCCCTGCACCCTGCGGCACACCATGGAGAAGGTGATGGGGATGGGGGGGGGTGATGGGGATAATGGGGTTGGGGGGCCAGGAGACGCTGGGGATAATGGAACTGCAGAGGAGGGGATGCTGGGATAATGGGGTTGGGAGATGGGGTACAGGGGTGCTGGGGATAATGGGATTGGGAGATGGGGTACAGGGGGTGCTGGGGATAATGGGATTGGGAGATGGGGTACAGGGGGTGCTGGGGATAATGGGGTTGGAGAGGATGGGATGCTGGGGATAATGGGGTTGGGAGTTGGGGTACAGGGGGTGCTGGGGATAATGGAATTGGAGAGGAGGGGATGCTGGGATAATGGGTTGGGAGATGGGGTACAGGGGTGCTGGGGATAATGGGATTGGGAGATGGGGTACAGGGGGTGCTGGGGATAATGGGGTTGGAGAGGAGGGGATGCTGGGATAATGGGTTGGGAGTTGGGGTACAGGGGGTGCTGGGGATAATGGGGTTGGAGAGGAGGGGATGCTGGGATAATGGGTTGGGAGTTGGGGTACAGGGGGTGCTGGGGATAATGGGGTTGGAGAGGAGGGGATGCTGGGGATAATGGGGTTGGGAGTTGGGATCTAGGGGATGCTGCGGATAATGGGATTGGGGAGGAGGGGATGCTGGGATAATGGGTTTGGGGGTCCAGGAGACATTTGGGATAATGGGATTGGAGAGGAGGGGGTGCTGGGATAATGGGGTTGGGGGTCCAGGAGACGTTTGGGATAATGGGATTGGGGAGGAGGGGATGCTGGGATAATGGGGTTGGGGGGCCAGGAGACATTTGGGATAATGGGACTGGAGAGGAGGGGGTGGTGGGGATAATGGGGTTGGGGGGCCAGGAGACATTTGGGATAATGGGATTGGAGAGGAGGGGATGCTGGGATAATGGGATTGGGAGTTGGGGTCTAGGGGATGCTGCGGATAATGGTATTGGGGAGGAGGGGATGCTGGAATAATTGGGTTGGGGGTCCAGGAGACACTGGGGATTATGGAATTGGAGAGGAGGGGATGCTGGGGATAATGGGATCGGGAGCTGGGGTCCAAGGGATGCTGGGATTGAGGAGTTGGGAGCACAGGGGATGCTGGGGATAATGGGATTGGGAGTTGGAGTCCAGGGGATGCTGGGGTCCAGGGGATGCTGGGATTGAGGAACTGGGGGTGGAGGGGATGCTGGGGATAATGGTATAGGGAGTTGGGGTCCAGGGGTTGCTGGGGAAGTTTGGAGAGGAGGGGATGCTGGGGATAATGGGATTTGGGAGCTGGGGTCTAAGGGATGCTGGGATAATGGGGTTTGGGAGCTGGGGTCTAAGGGATGCTGGGGATAATGGGGTTTGGGAGCTGGGGTGTAAGGGATGCTGGGGATAATGGGGTTTGGGAGCTGGGGTCTAAGGGATGCTGGGGATAATGGGGTTTGGGAGCTGGGGTCTAAGGGATGCTGGGGATAATGGGGTTTGGGAGCTGGGTCTAAGGGATGCTGGGGCCAATGGGATTGGGGCTGCAGGGGGCACCGAGGCTGGGGTGATGTCTATGGGGGGTCCCCTCACACTGTAACCCCCCCCATTGCAGGTGGTTCGCTCGGCAGCCACGAGCGGTGCCGGCAGCACCACGTCGGGGGTGGTGTCGGGCAGCCTGGGCTCCCGGGAGGTGAACTACATCCTGCGGGTGCTGGGCCCCGCCGCCTGCCGCAGCCCCACCGTCTTCACCGAGGTGGCCACCGGCTGCATCCGCATCGCCCTGCCCGCCCCCCGCGGCTCCGGCACTGGTGAGGCCTGGCCCCGGCCGTGCCGCTGCCCCACGGCTGCCCCATGGATCCCTATGGCTGCCCCATGGATCCCTATGGCTGCCCCATGCATCCCTGTGGCTGCCCCACGGATCCCTATGGCTGCCCCATGGATCTGTACGGCTGCCTCATGGATCCCTATGGCTGCCCCATGGATCTGTACGGCTGCCTCACGGATCCCTATGGCTGCCCCGTGGGTGGCCCAGGGCTTCCCAATGCATCCCTATGGCTGCCCCGTGGATCCCTATGGCTGCCCCATGGATCCCTATGGCTGCCCCATGGATCCCTATGGCTGCCCCATGGATCCCTGTGGCTGCCTCATGGATCCCTATGGCTGCCCCATGGATCCCTGTGGCTGCCCCACGGATCCCTATGGCTGCCCCATGGATCCCTATGGCTGCCCCATGGATCTGTACGGCTGCCTCATGGATCCCTATGGCTGCCTCATGGATCCCTATGGCTGCCTCATGGTTCCCTATGGCTGCCCCGTGGATCCCTATGGCTGCCCCATGGATCCCTGTGGCTGCCCCATGGATCCCTGTGGCTGCCCCATGGATCCCTGTGGCTGCCCCATGGATCCCTGTGGCTGCCTCATGGATCCCTATGGCTGCCCCATGGGTGGCCCAGGGCATCCCTATGGCTGCCCTGTGGGTGGCCCAGGGCTTCCCAATGCATCCCTATGGCTGCCTTGTGGATCCCTATGGCTGCCCCATGGGTGGCCCAGGGCTTCCCAATGCATTCCTATGGCTGCCCCATGGGTGGCCCAGGGCTTCCCAATGCATCCCTATGGCTTCCCTATGGGTCCAAATGCTCCCATATGGGGTTCCGTGGCTCCCTCTGGGTCCCTTCACGCCCAGAACAGGGTCCTATGGACCCCTTCACCCCCCCAAACAGGATCCTATGGGTCCCTTCACCCCCAAAACAGGGTCCTATGGACCCCTTCACCCCCAAACAGGATCCTATGGGTCCCTTCACCCCTAAAACAGGGTCCTATGGACCCCTTCACCCCCAAACAGGATCCTATGGGTCCCTTCACCCCTAAAACAGGGTCCTATGGACCTCTTCACCCCCAAACAGGATCCTATGGGTCCCTTCACCCCCAAAACAGGGTCCTGTGGACCCCTTCACCTCCAGAACAGGATCCTATGGGTCCCTTCACCCCCAAAACAGGGTCCTATGGGTCCCTTCACCCCCAAAACAGGATCCTATGGGTCCCTTCACCCCAAACCATCCTCCCAACCATCCCTTGCCCTCCATCCCCAGCATCCCCCCAGCCCTTCCCTGCCTCCAAGCCCAGCACGCCCCACACAGTGCGACCCCATAGGGCCCCCCCACTCCCTTTCCCCCCCCCTTGACCCCCCCTTTGTCCCCCCCCAGCCTCGGATGATGAGTTCGAGAACCTGCGCATCAAAGGCCCCAACGCGGTGCAGTTGGTGAAGACGACGCCGGTGAAGCCCTCGGCGCTGCCCGTCATCCCCGAGCCCATCAAGGACGTCATCTACGACATGCTCAATGCCCTGGCAGCCTACCATGCCCCCGAGGAGGGTATGTGGGGCGGGGGGGGGCACCCATGGGTGCTAACGCACCCCTTAGTGCGGGTTCAGCACCCCCGTTTGGGGTTGTACACACCCGGTGGGGAGTGGGAGTAGAGGGGTGGAGGATGGAGGGTGAAGGGGGAGTTGGATGGGGGGGTGTTCTATAGGGGATGTGGGGCTGGGGTGCACCTATGGGGGGGAGTTGGGGTTTCCCCGCAGAGTGGGGTGCACATAGAGGGGAATTGGGGTGGCCCTAGGGAGTGGGGTGCGCATAGAGGGGAATTGGGGTGTCGACAAGGAGTAGGGTGCCCATATGGGGGTGGAGAACTGGGGTGGCCCTAGGGAGTGGGTGCACATAGGGGGGAATTGGGGTGTCTATAAGGAGTAGGGGGCACGGCACATATAGGAATTGAGGTGCTCATATGGGGAGGGAAATTGGGGTGCCCCTAGGGATTGGGGTGCACATAGAGGGGAATTGGGGTGTCTAATGAATAGGGTGCCCATATAGGACTTGGGGTGCCCATATGGGGGAAGAATTGGGGTGTCCCTAGGGATTGGGGTGTCTATAAGAAATAGGGTGACCCTATAGGAATTGGAAGTCCCATAGGGGGAGGAAGAATTGGGGTGTCTATAGGGCTGGGTTGCCCATATAGGGGGGAGGAAGAATTGGGTGTCTGAATCAGGATGCCCCCCATGGGATGCAGGCAATGGGGGTATCCCCAAGGCTTTCCTCATCCCCCACTCACCCTTGGGCCCCTGCACCCCCATAGGGGACAAGGGGGACCCCAAGAGCGCGGCACCCTCGGAGGTGAGCCAGCTGCTGTCGGACATCGGCGACGACGTCTACCAGCAGTACCGGAGCCTCACGCGCCAGCCCGGCGACTTCGACCCCCCCTCCGGCTTCGCCATCAACGTCAGTGGGGTCTTGGGGGGGGTTTGGGGGTGTTGGGGGGTCCCCAAGGTCTGATGTCCCCCCCTTGGCTCCCCCAGGCTCAGGTCTTTGGTGCTGATGGAGCTGCCGCGGAGACGCCGCCATCGGGGACGCCGCAGGGGGAAGGTAGCGGTGTCCCTCTGGTACCCCCCCCCCCCCCAGTGGCACCCCCATGTCCCCAGTCACCCCCCACCCCCCCCATATCCCATCTTCCCCACGTCCCCTTTACATCCCGAGGCCCCCCCCGTCCCTTCTGCATCCCCATCCCCATTGCATCCTTAACCCCCCCAGCATCCCCTCCATGTCCCAAAGCCCCCCAACGTCCCCCCCACATCCCTAAGTCCCCCAACGTGCCCCCCACATCCCTGAGCCCCCCCCAATGTCCTCCATGTCTCTGACCCCCCTCCCCATCCCTCCATATCTCAAAGCCCCCCACATCCCCAAGCCCCCCAACGTCCCCCCCCATCCCTGACCCCCCCCCCCCCAGTGTCCTCCATGCCCCTAACCGCCCATCCCATTCCTCTATATCCCAAAGCCCCCCAACGTCCCCCCCCCACATCCCTGAGCCCCCCTGTGTCCTCCATGCCTCTGACCCCCCTCCCCATCCCTCCCTGCCCCATAGCCCTGAGCCCTCCAACACCTTCCTGACCTTCCCCCTCTCCATCCCATCCCATTGCCCCCCCCGAACGCTCTTCCCCCCTATGTCCCCCCCAGCAGCCAGCCCCGAGGAAGGCCGGGAAGGGCGGAAGGAGAAGGATGGGGAGCGGGGTGAGGAGCGGCAGCGGGGGAAGGCCTCCAAGCCCCTGATGCCCACGTCCACCATCCTGAGGCTGCTGGCCGAGCTCGTGCGCTCCTACGTGGGCATCGCCACCCTCATCGCCAACTACAGCTACACCGTGGGGCAGAGCGAGCTCATCAAGGAGGTGACGGCAAGGGACGCCCCCCCCACGCACCCCATAGGGACAGAAGAGGGTCCTTTGTCACCCTGTGCTATGGGGTCCCTGTCACCATGTGTGTCAAGGTGTCACCCCATATAGGAGGTCCCTTTGTCACCCTGTGCTATGGGGTCCCTGTCACCATGTGTGTCAAGGTGTCACCCCATATAGGAGGTTCCTTTGTCACCTGTGCTATGGGGTTCCTTGTCACCATGTGTGTCAAGGTGTCACCCCATATAGGAGGTTCCTTTGTCACCTGTGCTGTGGGGTTCCTTGTCACCATGTGTGTCAAGGTGTCACCCCATATAGGAGGTTCCTTTGTCACCTGTGCTATGGGGTTCCTGTCACCATGTGTGTCGAGGTGTCACCCCATATAGGAGGTCCCTTTGTCACCCTGTGCTATGGGGTTGCTTGTCACCATGTGTGTCAACGTGTCACCCCATATAGGAGGTCCCTTTGTCACCCTGTGCTATGGGGTTGCTTGTCACCATGTGTGTCAAGGTGTCACCTCATATAGGAGGTTCCTTTGTCACCCTGTGCTATGGGGTTGCTTGTCACCATGTGTGTCAACGTGTCACCCCATATAGGAGGTCCCTTTGTCACCCTGTGCTATGGGGTTGCTTGTCACCATGTGTGTCAAGGTGTCACCCCATATAGGAGGTTCCTTTGTCACCCTGTGCTATGGGGTTCCTTGTCACCATGTGTGTCGAGGTGTCACCCCATATCGGAGGTTCCTTTGTCACCTGTGCTTTGGGGTTCCTGTCACCATGTGTGTCAAGGTGTCACCCCATATAGGAGGTCCCTTTGTCACCCTGTGCTATGGGGTTCCTGTCACCATGTGTGTCAAGGTGTCACCCCATATAGGAGGTTCCTTTGTCACCCTGTGCTATGGGGTCCCTGTCACTGTGTGTGTCGAGGTGTCTCTCACCTCACACGCTGTGATTTTTGTTGCACCCTATAGAGGTTCCCCTGTCCCCCCATTGAGGTTCCCCTGTTCCCCCTATAGGAGCTCCAAATGCCCCTGTAGGGGTTCCGTTGTCCCCCCTATAGAGGTTCCCTTGTCCCCCCCATACAACCTCCCAGTGCCCCATAGAGGTTCCCTTGTCCCCCCCATGCAACCTCCCAGTGCCCCATAGAGGTTCCCTTGTCCCCCCCATACAACCTCCCAGTGCCCCATAGAGGTTCCCTTGTCCCCCCCCATACAATCTCCCAGTGCCCCATAGAGGTTCCTGTCCCCCCCATACAACCTCCCAGTGCCCCATAGAGGTTCCTGTCCCCCCCATACAACCTCCCAGTGCCCCATAGAGGTTCCCTTGTCCCCCCCCATACAATCTCCCAGTGCCCCATAGAGGTTCCTGTCCCCCCCATACAACCTCCCAGTGCCCCATAGAGGTTCCCTTGTCCCCCCCATACAACCTCCCAGTGCCCCATAGAGGTTCCCTTGTCCCCCCCATACAACCTCCCAGTGCCCCATAGAGGTTCCCTTGTCCCCCCCATACAACCTCCCAGTGCCCCATAGAGGTTCCCTTGTCCCCCCCATACAACCTCCCAGTGCCCCATAGAGGTTCCCTTGTCCCCCCCATACAACCTCCCAGTGCCCCATAGAGGTTCCTGTCTCCCCCATACAACCTCCCAGTGCCCCATAGAGGTTCCTGTCTCCCCCATACAATCTCCCAGTGCCCCATAGAGGTTCCTGTCCCCCCCCATACAACCTCCCAGTGCCCCATAGAGGTTCCTGTCTCCCCCATACAATCTCCCAGTGCCCCATAGAGGTTCCTGTCTCCCCCATACAACCTCCCAGTGCCCCATAGAGGTTCCTGTCTCCCCCATACAACCTCCCAGTGCCCCATAGAGGTTCCTGTCCCCCCCATACAATCTCCCAGTGCCCCATAGAGGTTCCTGTCCCCCCCCCAGGACTGCAGCGTTCTGGCCTTCGTGCTGGACCACCTCCTGCCGCACACGCCCAACGTGGAGGACAAGGACACCCCGGCGCTGGCGCGGCTCTTCCTCGCCAGCCTGGCAGCCGCCGGCACCGGCACCGATGCGCAGGTGGCGCTGGTCAACGAGGTGAAGGCGGCGTTGGGCCGGGCCCTCGCCATGGCCGAGAGCACCGAGAAGCACGCCCGGTATGGGGCCAGGGGGATGCCATAGGGATGCTATGGGGACACCAGAGACCTCGTGGTGGTGGGGTTGCCATAAGGATGCTATGGGGACACCAGAGACCTTGTGGTGGTGGCGGTACCATGGGGATGCCATAGGGATGCTATGGGGACACCAGAGACCTTGTGGTGGTGGCGGTACCATGGGGATGCCATAAGGATGCTATGGGGACACCAGAGACCTCGTGGTGGTGGGGGTCCCATGGGGATGCCATAGGGATGCTATGGGGACACCAGAGACCTCGTGGTGGGGGGGGTACCATAGGGATGCTATGGGGACACCAGAGACCTCGTGGTGGTGGGGGTCCCATGGGGATGCCATAGGGATGCTATGGGGACACCAGAGACCTCGTGGTGGTGGGGGTACCATGGGGATGCCATAGGATTGTCTCCTCCATGGGGCTGTATCCTCCATGGGGCTGATGTCTTTTCCATGAGATTGACATCTTCTGCATGGAGTTGTCTCTTCCATGGGGCTGACGTCTCCTCCATGGGGCTGACGTCTCCTCCGTGGGGCTGACGTCTCCTCCATTGGGTTGACGTCTCCTCCATGGGGCTGACATCTCCTCCATGGGGCTGACATTTCCTCCATGGGGCTGACGTCATCTCCTCTATGGGGCTGACGTGACCCCCACATCTCCCCCCCCACAGGCTCCAGGCCGTCATGTGCATCATCAGCACCATCATGGAGTCCTGCCCCACCACCTCCAGCTTCTACAGCAGCGCCACCAAGACGCAGCACAACGGCATGAACAACATCATCCGCCTCTTCCTCAAGAAGGGCTTGGTCAACGACCTGGCCAGGGTGCCCCACAGCCTCGACCTATCCAGGTGCACCCCCTCTTTGGGGCAAGATCCCCTTGTTATGGATCAAGATCCCCCCAGTTTGGGTCAAGATCCCCTCATTTTGGGTCAAGATCCCCTTGTTTTGGGTCAAGATACCCCCAGTCTGGGTCAAGATACCCCCAGTTTGAGTCAAGATCCCCTCATTTTGGGTCAAGATCCCCCCATTATGGGGTTATGAGGGGTATTGATGGGTTATGGTGGAATCTCAAGGGGGTTTGATGGGGTCTTGGGGGGGTCTCAAGGGGCTGTGATGGGTTTTGGTTTGGTATTGATGGGTTGTGATGGGTCTTGGGGGGGTCTCGATGGGTTGCAGTGGGGTTTGGGGGAGTATTCATGGGTCGTAATGGGTTTTTGGGGGGTATTCATGGGTTATGGTGGGATCTCAAGGGGTTGTGATGGGGTCTTGGGGGCTTACGATGGGTCTTGGGGGGGTCTTGATGGGTTGTAATGGGGTTTTGGGGGGTCTTGATGGGTTGTAATGGGGTTTTGGGGGGTCTTGATGGGTTGTGATGGGGTTTTGGGGGGTCTTGATGGATTATGGTGGGTGCTCAAGGGGTTGTGATGGGGTCTTGGGGGCTTACGATGGGTCTTGGGGGGGTCTTGATGGGTTGTAATGGGGTTTTGGGGGGTCTTGATGGATTATGGTGGGTGCTCAAGGGGTTGTGATGGGGTCTTGGGGCTATCTCAAGGGGTTCTAATGGGGTTTGGGGGGCTCTTGCTGGGTTCTGCTGGCTCTCAAGGGGCTGTGCTTGCTCTCAACGGGCCGGGGTGGCTTTGGGGGGCTCCCTGCGGCTGTGGGGGCTCAGTGGTGCCCCCCTCTCCCCCCAGCCCCAACATGGCGAACACGGTGAACGCGGCGCTGAAGCCCTTGGAGACGCTCTCGCGCATCGTGAACCAGCCCAGCGGGAGCCTCTTCGGCACCAAGGGCTCGTCCAGCAAGAGCAAGGCCGAGGGTGGCGGCGGGGCCCGGGACAGCGGCGCTGCCCCCCCCGATGGAGGTACCCCCATAGCGCACATGGTGTCCCCATAGCGCCCGTGGTGTCCCCATAGCACTCATGGTGTCCCCATGGTGTACCCCCATAGCGCCCGTGGTGTCCCCATAGCGCCCATGGTGTCCCCATAGCGCCCGTGGTGTCCCCATAGCACTCATGGTGTCCCCATGGTGTCCCCATAGCGCCCATGGTGTACCCCCATAGCGCCCATGGTGTCCCCATAGCGCCCGTGGTGTCCCCATAGCGCCCATGGTGTCCCCATGGTGTCCCCATAGCGCCCGTGGTGTCCCCATAGCACCCATGAAACCCCCATAACGCCCATGGTGTCCCATAGCGCCCATGGAGCCCCTATAGAGCCCATAGTGCCCCCATGGTGTCCCCATATCACCCATGGTGTCCCCATGGTGTCCCCATAGCACCCATGGAGCCCCCATAGAGCCCATGGTGTCCCCATAACGCCCATGGAGCTCCCATGGTGTCCCCATAGCACCCATGGTGTCCCCATGGTGTCCCCATAGAGCCCATGGTGTCCCCATAACACCCGTGGAGCTCCCATGGTGCTCCCATAGCACCCATGGAGCCCCCATAGCGCCCATGGTGTCCCCATAGCACCCGTGGTGCTGCCATAGCACCTATGGTGTCCTCATAGTGCCCATGGTGCCCCTATAGCACCTATGGTGCCCTATGGCACCTCCACCCCATAGCACCCCCAGTGCATCCCGTTGCACCCCCTGACACCCGCACTGCACCCCAGCCCACCCCATAGCAGCCCCACAGTGCCCCATGGCACCTGACCTGCATCCTGTAGTGCCCCAACAGCACCCAATGGTGCCACATAGCACCCCAGGGCACCCCCCCAGCACCCCCCCTGTATTCCAAAGCCCCCCCCCCCATGATCTCCCCCTCTGTTCATGTCCCCCCCCATCTTTCATGTGTCCCCCCCTCCCTTCTATCCCCCAACTTCCCCTTTCCCTCCTCCTCATCTCCCTTAACAACCCCCTCCCCCATATCCCCCCATAACCCACCCTGGGGGGGCACCTCCCCATCCCCCTGACCCCCACTTTAACCCCCCCCCCCCCCCATATTAAAGGGGACCCCGGGGACCCCGAGCCCCCCGAGGAGGACGCGGAGGTGACGCAGGCGGAGGCAGCCGATGGGGACATGGACGGGGAGGCCGAAGGTGACCCCGGGGGACAGCCCGAGGGGCTCAGCACCCAGGAGATGCAGGTGAGAGCCCAACCCCCACCCCCTGCACCCCCAACCCCACCCCCCAGCACCCCAAAACCTCTCCATATCCCCCCCCCCCCCCCCCCATAAGGTGGAAAATGAACTGGAAGATCTCATTGATGAGCTACTGGAGCGGGATGGAGCCGCTGGGAACAGCACCATCATCGGTGAGACACCCCCCCCCCCCCATTTAGCACCCAAAATGGGGTGTCCCTTATAACAGGGATCCCCCCCCACACTTATGGGGTGCCCCCCTGATGGTGATTCCCCCCCCTCTTTCCAAGTGAGCCGCTCCGGTGAGGATGAATCCCAAGAGGATGTGCTCATGGATGAGGCTCCCTCCAACCTCAGCCAAGCCTCCACGCTCCAGGCCAATAGGGAAGGTGGGTGCCCCATAGGGGACCCCCAAGGTTTTGGGGGGGGGGGGGGGCATAAAGGGGCCTTGGGGGTGTTTCCTATTGCCCCCCGCTGCCCATCCCATAGATTCCATGAACATCCTGGATCCCGAGGATGAGGAGGAGCACACGCAGGAGGAGGACAGCAGTGGCAGCAATGAGGATGAGGATGACAGCCAGGATGAGGAGGAGGAGGAAGAGGAGGAAGATGAGGACGATCAGGTGGGGCAGTGGGGTTGGCTTGGGGTTTTTTACCCCTGGTTTGGGTCAAGATCCCCTCATTTTGGGGTCACAGGCCCCCATTTCAGCTCCAGGGCTGCAATTTAGGGCCTGAGTACCCCAATTTTTGGGTCAAAATACCCTCGTTTCAGGTCTGGATACCCCCATTTTGGGTCAAGATCCCCCCATTTTGGGTCAAGATCCCCCCATTTTGGGTCAAGATCTCCCCATTTTGGGTCAAGATCCCCCCATTATTGATCAGAATCTCCCCATTTTGGATTGACATCTCCCCATTTTCGGTCAAGGTCCCCCCATTTTGGGTCAAGATCTCCCCATTTTGGATCAAGATCCCCCCATTTTGGGTCAAGATCTCCCCAGTTTGGATCAAGATCCCCCCATTTTGGGTCAAGATCTCCCCAGTTTGGACCAACATCTCCCCATTTTGGGTCAAGATTCCCCCATTTTGGGTCAAGATCCCCCCATTTTGGGTCAAGATCTCCCCATTTTGGATCAACATCTCCCCATTTTAGGTCACGATCCCCCTATTTTGGGTCAAGATCCCTCCATTTTGGGTCAAGATCTCCCCATTTTAGGTCACGATCCCCCTATTTTGGGTCAAGATCTCCCCATTTTGAGTCAAGATTTCCCCATTTTAGGTCACGATCCCCCTATTTTGGGTCAAGATCTCCCCATTTTGAGTCAAGATTTCCCCATTTTAGATCATGATCCCCCTATTTTGAGTCAAGATCCCCCCACTTTGAGTCAAGATCTCCCCATTTTGAGTCAAGATCCCCCCACTTTGAGTCAAGATCTCCCCATTTTGAGTCAAGATCCCCCCACTTTGAGTCAAGATCTCCCCATTTTGAGTCAAGATCCCCCCACTTTGAGTCAAGATCTCCCCATTTTGAGTCAAGATCCCCCCACTTTGAGTCAAGATCTCCCCATTTTGAGTCAAGATCCCCCCACTTTGAGTCAAGATCTCCCCATTTTGGGTCAGGCTCCCCCCATTTAACCCCCCCCTCCGGCCCTGGGGGCCGTTCCCCGCAGGACGACGAGGAAGGGGAGGAAGGGGAGGAGGAGGAGGACGACGACGACGGCTCCGAGATGGAGCTGGACGAGGACTATCCCGACATGAACGCCTCGCCCCTGGTGCGCTTCGAGCGCTTCGATCGCGACGATGACCTCATCATCGAGTTCGATAACATGTTCTCCAGCCCCAGTACGGCGGGGGGGGGCGGGGGGGGGGTGGGGGTAAGAAGGGGTTCATCCTCCCCCACTGCACCCCCCCCATTCTTCACCCTCATACCCAGCAGCATAGGGGGGTCAGGGTGCTTCTGATCCCCCCCCCATCATTTCTGATGCTCCGTATGCCCATCATTGGCATCCCATATCCCCCCATACTGCCTGTACCCTCCCGTATCGCCACCCTATCCCCCATATCTTCCCTATATCTGCCTCATACCCCCCCATATCCCCTCCATATCTCCACCATATCCCCCCATATAATCCCCATATTCCCGCCATTCCTCCCCCATATCCTCCCTACCCTCCCATATCCTCCATATCTCCCCATATGCTCCCCATATACTCCCCATATCCCTTCATACCTTCCCATACCCCCCATATCCTCCCCATACCGCTCCATATCCCACCATACACCCCCATATCCCCCCCTTATCCATTCCATACCCCACCATATCTCCCCATATCCCCCCACACCCCCCATATCCCTCCCATTTCTCCCCCATATCCCCTCCGTACCCCCACATATCCTCCCCATACCCTCTCCCTATCCCCTCATATCCTCCAATACCCTCCCCATATCACCCAATATCCCCCCCATATCCCCCTATATACCCCCAATACCCCCCATACCCCCCATATCCCCCCAATACCCCCCATATCCACCCCATATCGCCCCATACACCCCCATACGCCCCCATATCCCCCCCTCCCTAACCCCCCCCGCCCTTGCTCTCCCGCAGCCGACATCCCGCCGTCGCCGGGGAACATCCCCGCCAGCCACCCGCTCCTGGTTCGCCACGCCGAGCACGGAGCCCTGGCGCTGGGCACCGGCGCCGCCACCACGCGCCTGGCGCAGGGCCTGGGCCGCAGCCAGCGCACGCTGCGGCAGCTCACGGCCAACGCCGGCCACACCATCCACGTGCACTACCCCGGCGCCCGCCAGCCCAACCCGCCCCTCATCCTGCAGCGGTGAGTGGTGGACACAGCACCGACCCCATAGGGAACCCCATAGAGATCCCCATAGGGACCCCCAACCCGCCCCTCATCCTGCAGCGGTGAGTGGTGGTCACAGCACCGACCCCATAGGGAACCCCATAGAGATCCCCATAGGGACCCCCAACCCGCCCCTCATCCTGCAGCGGTGAGTGGTGGACACAGCACCGACCCCATAGGGAACCCCATAGAGATCCCCATAGGGATCCCCAACCCGCCCCTCATCCTGCAGCGGTGAGTGATGGACACAGCACCGACCCCATAGGGACCCCCAACCCACCCCTCATCCTGCAGCGGTGAGTGGTGGACACAGCACCGATCCCATAGGGACCCCCAACCCACCCCTCATCCTGCAGCGGTGAGTGGTGGACACAGCACCGACCCCATAGGGAACCCCATAGAGATCCCCATAGGGACCCCCAACCCGCCCCTCATCCTGCAGCGGTGAGTGATGGACACAGCACCGACCCCATAGGGACCCCCAACCCGCCCCTCATCCTGCAGCGGTGAGTGGTGGACACAGCACTGGCCCCATAGGGACCCCATAGAGAACCCCATTGGGACCCCCATAGGGACCTCTATAGGGACCCCCAACCCACCCCTCATCCTGCAGCGGTGAGTGGTGGACACAGCACCGACCCCATAGGGAACCCCATAGAGATCCCCATAGGGATCCCCAACCCGCCCCTCATCCTGCAGCGGTGAGTGATGGACACAGCACCGACCCCATAGGGACCCCCAACCCACCCCTCATCCTGCAGCGGTGAGTGGTGGACACAGCACCGACCCCATAGGGAACCCCAACCCCCCCCTCATCCTGCAGCAGTGAGTGGGGGTCACCCCATAGGGACCCCCAACCCACCCCTCAATCTCCAGCAGTGAGTGGGGGTCACCACATAGGGACCCCCAACCCACCCCTCAACCTCCAGCAGTGAGTGGGGGTCACCACATAGGAACCCCCATAGAGACCCCCATTGGGACCCCCAACCCACCCCTCATTCTGCAGCAGTGAGCAATGGGGACCCAACCACCCCCGTCCTATACCATTGAGCGATGACACACCAACCCCCCCTTAGTTCCAAGTGAACCCCCACTTCCCCCCTTCCCCCAGCACCCCCTGTATCCCCTTCCTTGCATCCCCCCCAACGCCCCCCCCCTCCTTCCTAGCCCCATATCCCCCCCCCTCCCCTTCCATGTCCTGAGGCTTCCCGGCTCCCTCCCCGCAGGCTGCTGGGCCCCTCGGCCGCGGCCGACATCCTGCAGCTGAGCAGCAGCCTCCCGCTGCAGAGCCGGGGCCGGGCCCGGCTCCTGGTGGGCAATGAGGACGTGCACATCATCGCCCGCTCCGACGACGAGCTCCTCGACGACTTCTTCCATGAGCAGGGCAGCACCGGCAGCCAGGCAGGCGAGTAGGGGAGGGGGCGTGGTCAGATGGAGCCCTGAACCAATGGGATGCAGGGAAAGATGGGCTTGGAGGAAGGGGGTGTGGTCAAACGCAGCCCTGGACCAATGGGTTGGAGGAAGGGATGCAGGGCTCAGAGGAAGGGGGGGGGGGGGGGGGGCGTGGTCAAATGGCCCCCTGAACCAATGGGATGCAGGGAAAGATGGGCTTGGAGGAAGGGGGTGTGGTCAAACACAGCCCTGGACCAATGGGATGCAGGGAAAGATGGGCTTGGCGAAAAGGGGTGGAGCCTAAAGGGGTATGGTCTGGAAGGGGTGCGTGGTGAAACGGACCCCTGAACCAATCGGATGCAGGGTCAGATGGGCTTGGAGAAAGGAAGGCGGGGCTTAGGGGAAAGGGGAGGAGCCGAACGAGGGCGTGGTCTGGAAGGGGGCACGGTCAAAACCAGCCCTAAACCAATGGGATGCAGGGGAAGGGGGTGGGGATTGGGGAAAGGGGGTGTGGTCAAAAGCAGCCGTAGACAAATCGGATGCAGGAAAAGATGGGCTTGGAGGTAAGGGGTGGGGGCAAAAGGGGCATGGTCTGGAAGGGGGCGTGGTCAGACACAGCCTTGAACCAATGGGATGCAGGGAGAGAGGGTGGACTTGCAGGAAAGGCGATGGACCGTAAAGGGGGCGTGGTCAGAGTCACCCCATAAACCAATGGGATACAGGAAAAGAGGATTGGGACCTATATAAAGGGGTGTGGTTTGAGGGGGCGTGGTCACACACAGCCCAAACCAATAGGATGCAGGGATAGAATTTACCTGGAGGGAAGGGGGTGTGGTCTAATGGGTGGTTTATGCAGGAGGTGGAGCCACATGCCCCCATCTAACCAATAGGGTGCAGGGATAGCGGGGGGGGCGTGGCCTGGCCGAGGGGCTCACCCATCTCCCCCCATGCGCTGCAGGGACCCTCTCCAGCATCCCCACGGCCCTGACGCGCTGGACCGAGGAGTGCAAGGTGCTGGATGCTGAGAGCATGCACGACTGTGTCTCGGGTGAGCCCCCCCGGCCCCAGTGGCCCCATTGCCCCCACAGCATCCCCATGGGTCCCCCAAACCACCCTCACCATCACCCCTCTATTCCCAGCACCACCAACACCCAGCTGGGGATCCCGCCAGTACCATTAGCAGGGTCCCCATGATGTCCCCACTACTGTGGGATCCCCCATACCCCTCCCATTGACCTCCATGGATCCCCCAAACCACCATCACCCCTCTATTCCCACCAACACCCAGCTGGGGATCCCTCCAGTACCATTAGTAGGGTCCCTATGGTGTCCCCACCACTGTGGGGTCCCCAGTACCCCTCCCATTCACCTCCATGTATCCCCCAAACCACCATCACCTTCACCGCCCTATTCCCAGCACCACCAGCACCCAGCTAAGGATCCCTCCAGTACCATTAGCAGGGTCCCCATGATGTCCCCACCACTGTGGGGGTCCCCAATACCCCTCATTGTCCACAGTGGCTCCCCTAAACCTCCATCACCATCACTCCTCCATTCCCACAGCATCCCCCATGGATCCCCCAAACCTCCATCACCATCACCACCCTATTCCCACCGCCACCAGCACGCAGCTGGGGATCCCTCCAGTACCATTAGCAGGGTCCCCAATACCCCCCGTTGTCCCCCCCAAACCACCATCCCCATCAGCATCCCGACACCCCCACACCAGCAGTAACCAGCAGCACCACCTCCCCGTACCCTCAGCACCCCCACATCCCATCCAGCTCCATCACCTGGCGCTCTCTGCATCCCCACGCGGTCCCCAAACCTCCCCCCCACCTCAACCACTCACCCAGGGACCCCTCCACCTCCATCACTTTGGTGCTCTCGGGGTCCCTGCACCCCTCTGTGTGTCCCAGCACCCCCAAACCCCCCTCCCCTCTTCGTGTCCCCCCCCCCAGTGGTGAAGGTCCCCATCCTGGCCCGCCTCGAAGCGCTGCGGGACGAGGAGCTGGACGAGCGGCGCGAGAAGCGCCGGCGCCAAGCGGCCGAGGAGGAAGCCAAAGGCACCGAGCGGGGGGGCCCTGAGGACAAGGAAGGGGCTGACACCCAGGTGAGGGGCTCCTAACCCATCCCACACCCCCTTACACCCATTGGGGGGGGGGTCCCTTTTTACACCCCCCCCTTCCACCTCCTATCTCCATCACCTACAGGAAGTGGCCTCCAAAGCCGCCACCGCCGCCGCCGACGTCACCCCCCCAGGTAACTCCTTCCATTCATTCCCAGTGTATCCGGATGACCCCCCCCCAATCCCAAATCCCTGTGTCCCCCCCCCCCCTTTAATCCCCTTGACCTGGCACCCCGCGGGTTGAGGTAGTAGATTGTATAGTTGGAGGGTCACACCCCCGTCTCGGAGATAACTATACAGTCTACTGTCTTCCTCGCGGGGCGCGCGCCCGCCGCCGGAGCACGGGGCCCCCCCTTGGGCTTTGGGGGGGGGGGGGTCACACATCAATGGGGCGGGGGGGGGGGGCTCTGGAGCATCCCTTCCCCTACCCCAGTATCCCTAGGATCCAGTTGGATGTTGAGAATGGTGGGGGGGGGGGGGGTGTTGGAGCATCCTTTTGCCTATCCCAGTATCCCTAGGATCCAGTTGGATGTCGAGAATGGGGGGGGCTCTGGAGCATCCCTTCCCCTACCCCAGTATCCCTAGGATCCAGTTGGATGTCGAGAATGGGGGTGGTTTGGATATGGGGGAGGGGGGAGTTTGGAGCATCCCTACCCCAGTATCCCCAGAGGGTGATGATGGGGGTGGTTTGGATGTGGGGGGGAGGGTGGGCTCTGGAGCATCCCTACCTCAGTATCCCAAGAGGTTGATGATTGGGGGTGGGGGGGGCACAATGTGGTGCTGGGGGGGTTGCCTCAGATTCCTCCCCCCCCCATCTTGTTTTGGGTCTGTATGGCCCAAATTGGGGAGAGGATGTGTTACTGGGGGGGGGGGGGGTGTCCCATAAAGCTCTATGGGTATCCCTGACATTGATCCCTATACATGTGTGTGTGTGTCCCCCATCCCAGAACACAGCGGGACAACGGGAGAGACCCCCCCTCCCGGTCCCCCACCGGACATTGGTGATGTTGGAACCGACGCCGACCCCCCCAGATCCTCCTTCGGGAGGAGCCCCCCAAATTCCCACTCGCCCCCCCCAACCCCCTGACCATGAAGAGGGGGGACCTGGGCGACCCCCCCAGGATGCTGAAGCCACTCAAATGGAGCTGTCACCCGCTCCCACCATCAGTAAGTCCTTGGGTTTAGGGGGATGATCTCTGGGTTTTGGGGGTGTCCTCGATTTGGGGGGGTCTCTTTATGTTGGGGGGGTCTCTATTCATGTATCCCCCCCCCGTTTTCCCCCTTAGCATCACTGTCCCCGGAGCGAGCGGAGGACTCGGATGCTCTGACGGCCGTGAGCAGCCAACTGGAAGGATCCCCCATGGACACCTCGAGTTTGGCTTCTTGTACCTTGGAAGAGTCAGGGGGTGCCCCCCCTCCTCCAGCAGCCCCCCAAAACCCCCCCGGCACCCCCCAAGGACCACCCCCGGCTCCCCCTGACGCCGCTCAGCCCCCTGATGACAGGTGAAGAGCCTTCCTATGGGAAGTAAAGGGGGGCGTTATAGGGTTGGGGTGCCCCAGAGCTGATGTTGTGTCCCCCCAACTTTCTCATCCCCAAGCTCGCCCCCGGCCTCGTCCTCGGAGAGTTCCTCAACCCGGGATTCAGCCGTGGCCATTTCGGGAGCCGATTCCCGAGGGATCCTGGAGGAGCCGCTGCCGTCCACCAGCAGCGAGGAGGAGGACCCCCTGGCCGGTCAGTGCCCCCCACCCCATGGCACATCCCATGTGTATCCCATAGGGAAGGGGTGGATCCTGTGTCTGCCGCCCCATGGCACATCCCATGTGTATCCCATAGGGAAGGGGTGGATGCTGTGTCCTCCCACCCCATGGCACATCCCATGTGTATCCCATAGGGAAGGGGTGGATCCTGTGTCTGCCTGCCCCATGGCACATCCCATGTGTATCCCATAGGGAAGGGGTGGATCCTGTGTCTGCCTGCCCCATGGCACATCCCATGTGTATCCCGTAGGGATGGGGTGGGTTCTGTGCCCCCCACCCCATGGCACATCCCATGTGTATCCCATAGGGATGGGGTGGGGTCCTGTGTCCTCCCACCCCATGGCACATCCCATGTGTATCCCATAGGGATGGGGTGGGTCCTGTGTCCTCCCACCCCATGGCACATCCCATGTGTATCCCATAGGGAAGGGGTGGATCCTGTGTCTGCCTGCCCCATGGCACATCCCATGTGTATTCCATAGGGAAGGGGTGGATCCTGTGTCTGCCGCCCCATGGCACATCCCATGTGTATCCCATAGGGAAGGGGTGGATGCTGTGTCCTCCCACCCCATGGCACATCCCATGTGTATCCCATAGGGATGGGGTGGGTCCTGTGTCCTCCCACCCCATGGCACATCCCATGTGTATCCCATAGGGATGGGGTGGGTCCTGTGCCCCCCACCCCATGGCACATCCCATGTGTATCCCATAGGGAAGGGGTGGATCCTGTGTCTGCCTGCCCCATGGCACATCCCATGTGTATCCCATAGGGAAGGGGTGGATGCTGTGTCCTCCCACGCCATGGCACATCCCATGTGTATCTCATAGGGATCAGCCTGCTGGAAGGGGTGGATCCTGTGCCCCCCACCCCATGGCACATCCCATGTGTATCCCATATGGAAGGGGTGGATCCTGTGCCTCCCCCGACCCCATAGCACATCCCATGTGTATCCCATAGGGAGGGGGTGGATCCTGTGCCCCCCCGACCCCATGGCACATCCCATGTGTATCCCATAGGGATCAGCCTGCCGGAAGGGGTGGATCCATCGTTCCTGGCGGCGCTGCCGGATGACATCCGCCGGGAAGTGCTGCAGAACCAGCTGGGGATCCGCCCCCCCTGCCCGGGCCCCGCCCACCCCAAGCCCCGCCCCCCCGGTCGTGGCCAATCCCGGCCTGACCGAGGTCAGCCCCGAGTTCCTGGCGGCTCTACCCCCGGCCATACAGGAGGAGGTGGGCGGGGCGTCGGGAAAAGGGGGCGGGGCTACGGGGAGTATGAAAGGGGATTGGTGGGTGTAGGGGGTGGGGCCTGCGGGAGGGGTGTGGTTAAGGGGAGGGGGCTGGGCGATGCGGGGGCCACGAAAGGGGATTGGTTGGTGTGGCCAAGGGGAATGAGTAGGGCTTCACGTCTAGGGCGGGGCCTAAATGAGGATGAGGTTAAGGGGGTGTGGCCTATTCTAGGGGTGGAGCTTATATAAGGCGTGGGATTTATCCAGAGATTTAGCTTATACAAAAGGGTGGTGCTTACAGGGGTGGAGCTTATTCAAAGGGGCGGGGCTTGCATGAAAGGATGGGGCATAATTGGGGCACTTACGCAAAGGAGTGGAGCTTATACAAAGGGCATGGCTTGTGTTAAAGGGATGGGGCTTAAAGGGGTGGAGCTTATTTAGGGGTGGAGCTTGTATGAAAGGAGAGGGCTTAAATGGAGTTTATACGAAGGGATGGGGCTTATGATAAAGGATGGGGCTTAAAGGGGTAGAGCTTATACACAGGGGCGGGGTTTACGATAAAGGATGGGGCTTAAAGGGGTGGAGTTTATTCAAAGGGGTGGGGCTTAGAAATGATGTGGCCTAAAAAAGATGGAGCTTATTCAAAGGGATGGGGCTTAAAGGGGTGGAGCTTATTCAAGGGGCGGGGCTTGTATTAAAGGGGGGGGGGGGCGTGGCCTCCGGAGGGCCCCATCCTGAGCCGCCTCCCTGCCGCAGGTGCTGGCCCAGCAGCGCGCGGAGCAGCAGCGGCGGGAGCTGGCGCAGGCCACGAGCTCGGACGCGCCCATGGACCCGGTGACGTTCATCCAGACGCTGCCGTCGGAGCTGCGGCGCTCGGTGCTCGAGGACATGGAGGACAGCGTCCTGGCCGTCATGCCCCCGGACATCGCCGCCGAGGCGCAGGCGCTGCGCCGCGAGCAGGAGGCCCGCCAGCGCCAGCTTCATGCACGAGAGGCTCTTCGGCCACTCCAGCACCTCCGCGCTCTCCGCCATCCTGCGCAGCCCCGGTGAGGAGGCGCCGCTGGGCACCGACACCCCCATTCCCCCTCATCCCCCTCTCATTTCCCCCCATTCTCCCTTCCCTCCTTCCCCCCCCTCTCTCCCATTCCCCCACCCCCCATTTCCCCTCCCATTCCCCTCCTATTTCCCCCTATTCCCCTCCCATTCCCTTTCCTATTCCCCCCCATTCTCCCCCTTCCCCCTCCCATTTCCTCCCATTCCCCCTCCCATTCCCCCTCCCATTCCCCCTCCCATTCCCCCTCCCATTCCCCCCCATTTCCCCTCACATTCTCCCCCATTCACCCCATTCACCCCATTCCCAATCCTCCCAATTCCCATTCCCCTCCAATTCCCCCTACTCCCATTCCATTACCCCCATTCCCAATCTCCCCTTTTCCTATTCCCATTCCCCCCCATTCCCGTTCCCCATTCCCATTCCCCCCAATCCCATCCCCCCCATTCCCCCCAATCCCATTCCCCCCCATTCCCTCATTCCCATTCCCCCCATTTCCATTCCCCCCATTCCCCCTCTTCCCATTCCTCCATTCCCATTCCTCCCATTCCCATCCCCCCCATTCCCATCCCCATTCCCCATCCCCATTCCCATTCCTCCCATTCCCATCCCCATTCCCATCCCCCCCATCCCCATTCCCCTTTCCCATCCCCCCCATTCCCCATCCCCATCCCCATTCCCCCTTTCCATCCCCCCCATTCCCATCCCATTCCCCATTCCCCATCCCCATTCCCATCCCCCCCATCCCCATTCCCCATCCCCATTCCCATCCTCCCCATTCCCATCCCCATTCCCATCCCATTCCCATCCCCCCCATTCCCATCCCATTCCCATCCTCCCCATTCCCATCCCCATCCCCATTCCCCTGCCGTTCCCGCTGACTGCCGTGTCCCCGCAGCGTTCACGAGCCGCCTGAGCGGGAGCCGGGGGGTGCAGTACACGCGCCTGGCGGTGCAGCGCGGGGGCACCTTCCACATGGGCGGCACCGCCGGGCACAGCAGGTACGGGGTGGGGGCACCAAACTGGGGCTGAATTCGAACCTGGTTGGAGCTGGGTTTGAGCCTGATTTGAGCTGGGTTGGAACCTGATTTGAGCCTGATTTGGTCTGGATTTGAGCCTCATTTCAACCTGATGTGATCAGGATTTGAGCTGGGTTTGAACCTGATTTGATCCGGATTTGAGTTGGGTTTGATCCGGATTTGATCTGGGTTTGAACCTGATTTGATCTGGATTTGAGTTGGGTTTGATCCGGATTTGATCTGGGTTTGAACCTGATTTGATTCACATTTGAGTTGGGTTTGATCCAGATTTGAGCTGGGTTTTAACCTGACTTGATCCAGATTTGAGCTGGGTTTTAACCTGACTTGATCCAGATTTGAGCTGGGTTTCAGCCTGACTTAATCCGGATTTGAGCTGGGTTTGAGCCTGATTTGGGCTGGGTTTGAGCTTGATTTGAACCTAATTTGATCTGGGTTTGATCCTGCTTTGAGCCGGGTTTGATCTAGGATTGATCCTGATTTGAAGCTGATTTGAGCTGGGTTTGATCCTGATTTGAGCTGGGCTTGAACCTGATTTGAGCTGGGTTTGATGCTGATTTGAAGCTGATTTGAGCTGGGTTTGATGCTCATTTGACCCTGATTTGGTCTGGGCTTGAACCTGATTTGATCCAGCCTTGATCCAGGTTCAATCCTTCTTCCCTCCCCATTCTCCCCCTCCCATCTCAGACCCTCAACCGGCAACGTGGACAACCTGCTGCGCCTGCGCGGGCGCCTGCTCCTGGACCACGAAGCCCTCTCGTGCCTCCTGGTGCTGCTCTTCGTGGACGAGCCCAAGCTGAACACGAGCCGCCTGCACCGCGTCCTGCGCAACCTCTGCTACCACGCGGCCACGCGGGGCTGGGTGGTGCGGAGCCTCCTCTCCATCCTGCAGCGCAGCAGCGAGAGCGAGCTCTGCCTCGAGGCCCCCGCGCCCCACCGGCACCGGAGGAGCGCCCGCGCCGCGCACGAGCCACCCCTCCCGGCAGCACCGCCGCCACCACCACCACACACCACCACCGGTACCACCGAACCCCGCGCTCTCGACCTCCTGCACCGCGTGGAAGCGCGCAGCTCCGGGCAGCTCTCGTGGCTCTCCGTCTCCATGGACGCGGCGTTGGGATGCAGGACCAACATCTTCCAGATCCAAAGGGTGCCCGGCAGGAAGCACACGGAGAAACACGGTGGCGGCAGCGGCGGCGCCGCCGCCGGCTCCGCCGTCCACATCCACCCGCAGGCAGCGCCCGTCGTGTGCCGGCACGTCCTGGACACCCTCATCCAGCTGGCCAAGGTGAAGGGAGGGGGGGTCTGGGGGGTGTAAAGGGTCCCTGATGGGGTTGGGGGGTCTCTGGGGCATGGTATGGGGTATACAGAGGGTCCCTGATGGGGGGGGGGGGTCTGGGGCATGGTATGGGATGCATCAAGGGTCCTTCATGGGGTTGGGGGGGGCTGGGGTGCATAAAGGGTACCTGAGGGTGTTGGGGGGTCGGGGGGGGGCATAAAGGGTACCTGATGGGCTTCGGGGTGTCCAGGGCATGGTATGGGGTGTATAAAGGGTCCCTGATGGGGTTGGGGGGTCTGGGGTGTGTTATGGGGTGCATGAAAGGTCCCTGATGGGGTTGGGGGGCTCTGGGGCATGGTATGGGGTGTATAAACAGTCCTTGATGGGGTTGGGGGGTCTGGGGTGCACTTTAGGTGGGGGCAGTCCCCAAAGCAGAAGTGGGGCCCCCCAAACCCCACACTGAGCTCCTTGGGGGTGCCTGGGGGACACTGTGTGTGTGGGGGGTGGTTGCTATGGTTGCATTTGGGGGGAAGGGGGGGTCACCACCCCCCTGCCCACCCTCCCCCCCTCACCTTTTCCAGGTCTTTCCCAGCCACTTCACCCAGCAGCGGGGCCGGGATCCCAGCACGGAGCCGGAGCGGGAACGCGGCCCCCCCAAATCCGGGGGCAGCCCCTGCCCCCCCCCCCTCCTCCTCCTCCTCCTCCTCCTCCTCCTCCCCCCCCCACTTCCCCCCCTCCCTTCCCAAGCCCCTCCCGCCCCCCACCCCCTCCCCCTTCTGCCGGGGCCCCTCCCCCCGCCCTGCCCCCTCCCCCCCCCCCCCCCTTCCGGCAGCCTTTCCACCGATTTCTGGGACCTCTTGGTGAAGTTGGATAACATGAACGTGAGCCGGAAAGGGAAGAGCTCGGCCAAAACGGGCGCCGGGGGTGGGGGGCCGGAGCCCGAGGCCACGGGGATGGGCTTGGAAGCGTCGCCCTTGGGCCAGCTCATGAACATGCTGTCCCACGGCGTCATCCGCCGCAGCGCCCTCCTCACCGAGAAGCTGCTCCGGCTCCTGTCCCTCATCTCCATCGCTCTTCCCGAAGGTGGGAAAGGGGCTGAGGGGGGGCAGGAGCCCCCCAAAACGCCCCCGCCGCAACGGGAGCCGGGGCGGCTCCGGGGAGTCCGGCGGCGCAGAGCGGGAACGCCGGGAACGCGGCGGCGGGAGGGGGAGCTGCGGCTGGGGGTGAGAGAGTGGGGATATGGGGGGGATGGAGAGATATGGATGGGGATGGGGAAATGGGTGGGGATATGGGTGGGGATGGAGGGATATGGGTGGGGACAGGGATATGGGTGGGATGGAGGGATGGGGAGAGGTATGGGGATACGGGTGGGGATGGAGGGACGTGGGTGGAATGGGGATATGGATGGGGATGGAGGGGTGGGGATATGGGTGGGGATGGAGGAACATGGATGTGAATGGGGATATGGGTGGGATACGGATGGGGAGGGAGGGGTGTGGATGGGGATAGGAATGGGGATATGGATGGGGATGGAGGGATGTGGATGGGGATATGGGGCTAAGGACATGGGACATGGGTGGAGGTGCCGTGATGGGGACATGAGACCAGGGATAGGGACATGGGTGGGAATGGGAGGATGGGGATGGGGACAGAGGAGTTAGGAACATGGGGATGGAAGCATGGATGGCGGACAGGGCTGGGGATGCAGATGTAAATGGGACATTGGATAGGGTTGGGGAGAAGGACGTGGGATGGATGGGGACATGGGGAGAGGGACAGGGATGGGGCTGGAGACATGGATTGGGACACTGGGATAGGGGTTGGGGAGAAGGACGTGGGGATGGATGGGGACATGGGGAGAGGGACAGGGATGGGGCTGGAGATGTGGACTGGGACCTTGGGATAGGGTTGTGGACCAGGACATGGGGATGGATGGGGACATGGGGATGCAGGCAGAGGTGCCACCCTCCCCTCACCGCCCCCATCCCCCACACATCCCCCCACCCCCCCTTGTCCCCAGCCTCCTCCAAGAGCTCCAAGTCACCAGCGAAGGGCCCCGAGAGCAGCCCTGACCCCCGGATGGCGGCCACGGGGCTGACCGAGAGCCAGCTCCAGCTCTCGGTGGAGGTGAGCACCCCCTGCCCCCCCAAACCCCCTCCACCCCCCATGTCCTATCCCCCCCCATACACATCCCCTGTCACCCACAGGTGCTGACGTCCCACTCGTGCTCCGAGGAGGGGCTGGAGGACGCGGCCAACGTCCTGCTCCAGCTCTCGCGCGGCGACGCCGGCACCAGGGACACGGTTCTGCGCCTGCTGCTCACCGGCGCCCGGCACCTCGGGGCCACCCTGTGCCGCCAGATCGGTGAGGCCATGGCCGCGGTGGCGGTGGTGGTTGGAGGGGGGTGGTGCCATTGGGTGTCATCCCCACGCCGGTGACACCGCGGGGCCGTGCCCGGTGCAGGGACGCTGCTGGCCGAGCTGAGGGAATACAACCTGGAGCAGCAGCGGCGGGCGCAGAGCGAGGCCCCGTCCCCCGAGGGGCTCCCCGAGGAGCAGCCGCCCAGTGCCAAGCTCAAGGGCAAGATGCAGAGCCGGTGAGATGGGGACACCCCCCCCAGCACACACACATCCCCCCGCACTGTTCATTGTGGGCCCTCCTGGTAACTGTAGTGGGTGCTGTTAACCCGTGTCCCTACTGAGCACAACCCTCATTGCTCCCGTTAACCCGTGTCCCTACTGAGCACAACCCTCATTGCTCCCGTTAACCCATGTCCCTACTGAGCACAACCCTCATTGCTCCCGTTAACCCATGTCCCTACTGAGCACAACCCTCATTGCTCCCGTTAACCCATGTCCCTACTGAGCACAACCCTCATTGCTCCCGTTAACCCATGTCCCTACTGAGCACAACCCTCACTGCTCCCGTTAACCCATGTCCCTATTGAGCACAACCCTCATTGCTCCCGTTAACCCATGTCCCTACTGAGCACAACCCTCATTGCTCCCGTTAACCCATGTCCCTACTGAGCACAACCCTCATTGCTCCCGTTAACCCATGTCCCTACTGAGCACAACCCTCACTGCTCCCGTTAACCCCATGTCCCTATTGAGCACAACCCTCATTGCTCCCGTTAACCCGTGTCCCTACTGAGCACAACCCTCATTGCTCCCGTTAACCCATGTCCCTACTGAGCACAACCCTCATTGCTCCCGTTAACCCATGTCCCTACTGAGCACAACCCTCACTGCTCCCGTTAACCCATGTCCCTATTGAGCACAACCCTCATTGCTCCCGTTAACCCATGTCCCTACTGAGCACAACCCTCATTGCTCCCGTTAACCCATGTCCCTACTGAGCACAACCCTCACTGCTCCCGTTAACCCATGTCCCTATTGAGCACAACCCTCATTGCTCCCGTTAACCCATGTCCCTACTGAGCACAACCCTCATTGCTCCCGTTAACCCATGTCCCTACTGAGCACACCCTCACTGCTCCCGTTAACCCATGTCCCTACTGAGCACAACCCTCATTGCTCCCGTTAACCCATGTCCCCTATTGAGCACAACCCTCATTGCTCCCGTTAACCCATGTCCCTACTGAGCACAACCCTCACTGCTCCCGTTAACCCATGTCCCTACTGAGCACAACCCTTGTTCCTGCCTTTGACCCTTGCCCTATTAACAACCCTTGTGTCTCCTGTTAACCCTTGTCCCTACTGATGCCAACCCTTGTTCCCCTTGTTAACTCTTGTCCCTATTGATGCCAACCCTTGTTCCTCCCGTTAACCCATGTCCCTATTGATGCCAACCCTTGTTCCTCCCGTTAACCCTTGCCCCTACCGATGCCCTTTGGCCCGTATTGATGCTAACCTTGTTCCTCCCGTTAACCCTTGTCCCTACTGATGCCAACCCTTGTTCTTGCCATTAACCCTTGCCCCTACTGACAACCTGCGTCTCCTGTTAACCCTTGCCCCTACCGATGCCCTTTGCCCATATTGATGCCAACCCTTGTTCCTCCCGTTAACCCTTGTCCCTACTGATGCCGACCCTTGTTCCCCTTGTTAACCCTTGTCCCTACCGATGCCAACCCTTGTTCCTGCCATTGACCCATGTCCCTATTGATGCCAACCCTTGTTCCTCCCGTTAACCCTTGTCCCTACTGATGCCGACCCTTGTTCCCCTTGTTAACCCTTGTCCCTACTGATGCCAACCCTTGTTCCCCTTGTTAACCATGCCCCTACCGATGCCAACCTTGTTCCTGCCATTGACCCATGTCCCTACTGATGCCAACCCTTGTTCCTCCCGTGAACCCATGCCCCTACCGATGCCAACCTTGTTCCTCCCGTTAACCCTTGTCCCTACCGATGCCAACCTTGTTCCTGCCATTGACCCATGTCTCTACTGATGCCAACCCTTGTTCCTCCCGTTAACCCATGCCCCTACTGACACCAACCTCTCCCCCCGCACCTCCACCCCGTTCCCTCCAGGTTCGACACAGCCGAGAGCGTGGTGATCGTGGCGTCGCAGAAGCGGGCGCTGGGCGGGCGGGAGCTGCAGCTGCCTCCATGTCCGTGCTCACCTCCAAGACGTCCACGCAGCGCTTCTTCCTCCGCGTGCTGCAGGTCATCATCCAGCTGCGTGACGACACGCGCCGGGCGCACAAGAAGGCCAAGCAGGCCGGGCGCCTGGGTAAGGCCCCCCCCCGTCCCTCGCCCCATTGAGCTCCTTGCACCCCACTTCGTGTGCCCCTCACGCAGCCTTTTCTCCCTCTCTCTGTCCGTGTCGCCCACCCCACACCCCGCAGGCGCCGGGGGGCTCGGGGCGGCTGGCAGCATCCAAGCAGCCGTCCGGCAGCTGGAGGCCGAGGCCGACGCCATCATACAAATGGTACGTGAGGGCGGCAGCAGGCGCACACGGGTAGCACGGCCGCCCTTCCTCCTTCCGCCGCCTCCTCCTCCTCCTCTCTGCCGCCTTAGGGTTCTCTTCCTCTTCGCCCTCCTCCTTTGCCTCTGCCTCATCCGCCTGCCTCCTCCTCCTCTGCTTCCTCTTCCTCCTCTGCTTCCTCTTCCTCCTCTGCTTCCTCTTCCTCCTCTGCTTCCTCTTTCTCCTTTGCTTCCTCTTCCTCCTTCCTTCTTACTCTTTTCTTCCTCCTCGCCCTCTTCCTTCTTACTCTTTCTTTCTCCTCGCCCTCTTCCTTCATGCTCCTCCTCCTCTTTTTCCTCCTCCCTCCCCTCTTCCTGCTCCTTCTCTCCCTCCTTTCTTTACCCTCCTTTTCCTCCTCCTTTTCCTTCTCCTCTGCCTCATCCTCCTGCCTCCTCCTCATTCCCTCTTTCCTCCTCCTCCTCTGCTTCCTCTTCCTCCTCTTCCTCTGCCTTATTCTTTTCTTCTTCCTCACCCCTTCCTTCACACTCCTCCTCCTCTTTTCCTCCTTCTCTCCCTCCTTCCTTCACCCTCCTCTTCCTCCTCCTCCTTTTCCTCTTCCTCCTCCTCTGCTTCCTCTTCCTCCTCTGCTTCCTCTTCCTCCTCTTTCTCTGCCGCCTTACTCTTCTCTTCCTCCTTGCCCTCTTCCTTTCACCCTCCTCCTCCTCCTTTTCCTCCTCTGCTTCCTCCCTCTTCCCTCACTCCCCTCTTCCTGTTCCTTCTCTCCCTCCTTTTCCTTCTTTTCCTTTTCCTCTGCCTCATCCTCCTGCCTCCTCCTCATTCCCTCTTCCTCCTCCTCCTCTGCTTCCTCTTCCTCCTCTTCCTCTGCCTAATTCTTTTCTTCTTCCTCACCCCCTTCCTTCACACTCCTCCTCCTCTTTATCCTCCTCCTTCTCTCCCTCCTTCCTTCACCCTCCTCTTCTCCTCCTCTGCTTCCTTTTCCTCTTCCTCCTCCTCTGCTTCCTTTTCCTCCTCTGCTTCCTCTTCCTCCTCTTTCTCTGCCGCCTTACTCTTTTCTTCCTCCTTGCCCTCTTCACCCTCCTCCTCCTCCTTTTCCTCCTCTGCTTCCTCCCTCTCTTCCTCACTCCCCTCTTCCTGCTCCTTCTCTCCCTCCTTCCTTCGCCCTCCTCTTCCTTCTCCTGCTTTTTGTCTTCCTCTGCCTCATCCACCTGCCTCCTTCTCCTCATTCCCTTCTTTTCCACCTCTTCTTGCCTTCTCCCTGTCTTCCTTCACCCTCCTCTTCTTCCTCCTTCTCTTCCTTTTCTTCCTCCTCATTCTCTCTCCTTTTTCCTCCTCTTCCTTTTCTTCCTCCTCCTCATCTTCCTCTTCCTCCCCCTTTTCCCCCTTTTCCTCCTCCTTTTCCTCCTCCTTCCTTTCCTCCTCCTTCTCTTCCTTCACCCTCCTCTTCCTCCTCTCTTTCTCCTTTTCTTCTTCCTTTTCTTCCTTCTCCTCCCCCTCGTTTTCCTCCTCATTCTCATCCTCCTTCTTCCTCCTTTTCTTTCTCCTCCTCTTCTTCCTGCTTCTCTTCCTCTTCCTCCTCATTCTCTTTTTCCTTTTCCCTCTTCTTTTACTTCCTCCTCCTCCTTTTCCCCCTTTTCCTCCTCATTCTCTTCCTTCACCTTCCTCTTCCTCCTCCTCCTCTCCACTTTTCTCTGTTCCCTCCTGCTCTTCCTCCTCTTCCCCCCCTCACCCTTCCTCTTCCTCCCCCCTTTACCTTCCTCCTCCCATCCCATTCCTGCTTCTCTTCCTCTCCAAGCCCTCCATGGGGGGTGGGGGGCGGTATTTGGGCTCCGTGGGGGGTCCCGTCCCCCTAAACCTGCTCCTGCCCCTCTGCAGTCGGAGGCTGGGCCTGCGGACGCCGCTCCCCGTCGGGATGAATCCCCCATGGATGTGGATCAGCCGTCGCCAGCCCCCCAGGACAACCCCTCCGTGGGTGAGAGACCCCCCAGTGCAGTCCCAGTGCCCTTCCCAGTGCCCCTCAGTGCATCCCAGGGACCCCCCCAGTGCATCCCAGTGCCCCTCAGTGCAACCCAGTGCATCCTAGTACATCCCAATGCATCCCAGTGCCCCACCGTGCAACCCAGTGCATCCCATTGCTGCAACCCAGTGCCCCCCCAGTGCATCCCAGTGCATCCCATTGCTCCCCCCCAGTGCAACCCAGTGCCCCCCCAGTGCATCCCATTGCTCCCCCTCAGTGCATCCCAGTGCAACCCAGTGCCCCTCAATGCAAGCCAGTGCCCCCCATTGCACCCCAATGCCCCCCAGTGCATCCCAGTGCAACCGAGTGCTCCCTATTGCATCCCATTGCACCCCAGTGCCCCCCAGTGCATCCCAATGCCCCCATTGCACCCCAATGCCCCCCAGTGCATCCAGTGCCCACCTCCCCGTTGCACCCCAATACCCCAGACTCCCCATCCCGATGCCTCCCACTCCGTGCCTGGCTCCATCCTGGCGCTCCTCCCATTGGATCCCAGTTGGGAAGCGGCCGAACTGGACCACGATCGGGGGGGGGGGGGGGTGGTGATGATGGGGAAGGGTCCTGACTGTGTCACCCCCCCATCATCCCCACAGGCTCGGAGGGGCCGGAGCGGGGACGAGCGGCCCCCGGAGCTGCCCCTGCTGAGCGAGCAGCTCTGCCTGGACGAGCTCTGGGATATGCTGGGGGAGTGCCTCAAGGAGCTCGAGGAGTCCCACGACCAGCACGCCGTGCTCGGTGGGTCTATGGGGTGGGGGGGAGCGCTATGGGGTGATGGGGGGGGGGGCACAGGGCCCTCTGGGTACCCCCTGCCCCCAGCATCCTGTCCCAAGCAGGGTGATGGCTCTGCAGCATCCATGCCACATCCCCCCCCACCACCACCACGGGGTTGGGGTGCCCCTCATACCCCCTGTATTCCCCCCCGCCCTTAGTGATGGAGACCCCCTGGTACTTTAGGGGGTCCCCAAGCCCCCCCCCCCCCACCTTGGGAAGGGGTTTGGGGGGGGGGGGTTTAGAGGGGATTTGGGGTTGTTTGGGGCTGTTGAAATTCATCCATCCCCCATACCCAGCCCTGTCCCAAGCAGGATGCTCCCCCCCCCCCCAATTCCTGGGGTCCCCTTTATACCCATTACCCCCCTCTCTCCATGCCACCCCCATTCCCATGGTCCCATGGTTGCCCCCATTCTCCCCCCCATCTCTCCACCCCCCATTTCCCCTGTCTTTCTGCCCCCCATTCCCCCCATCTCTCTGCCCCCCCTTCCCCCCATCTCCATTCCCCCCGTCTCTCTGCCCTCCCATTCCCCCCCATTCCCCCCATCTCCATTCCCCCCCGTCTCTCTGCCCCCCATTCCCCCCATCTCCATTCTCCCCCATCCTCTCTGCCCCCCCATTCCCCCCATCTCTCTGCCCCCCCATTCTCCCCCATCTCTCTGCCCCCCATTCCCCCCATCTCTCTGCCCCCCATTCTCCCCCATCTCTCTGCCCCCCATTCCCCCCCATCTCTCTGCCCCCCCATTCCCCCCATCTCTCTGCCCCCCCATTCCCCCCCATCTCCATTCTCCCCCATCTCTCTGCCCCCCCATTCCCCCCATCTCTCTGCCCCCCCATTCTCCCCCATCTCTCTGACCCCCCATTCCCCCCCATCTCCATTCTCCCCCATCTCTCTGTTCCCCCATTCCCCCCCATCTCTCTGCCCCCCCATTCTCCCCCATCTCTCTGCCCCCCCATCACCCCCTCTCTCCCTGTTGCCCCCCCAGTGCTGCAGCCCGCCGTCGAAGCCTTCTTCCTGGTGCACGCCACGGAGCGGGAGAGCAAGCCCCCGGTGCGGGATACCCGGGAGAGCCAATTGGCCCACATCAAGGACGAGCCCCCCCGCTGTCCCCCGCCCCCCTGACCCCCGCCACCCCCTCCTCCCTGGACCCCTTCTTCTCCCGCGAGCCCTCCTCCATGCACATCTCGGCCAGTTTGCCCCCCAAACCCAGAAGTTCCTGCGCTTCGCTGGTGAGTGGGGGGAGGTTGGGGGGATGGGAGAGGATTTGGGGGGGGAGGGGGAGGGGGATGGGGGGGGGATTGGGGGTGATGGAAAGGGGGATTCATTGTGATGGGAAGGGGTTTGGGGGTGATGGGAATGGGATTGGGGGTCATGGGATGGGGATTGGGGGGTTCAGGTGATGGGAGGGGGATTGGGGGGGATGGGAGTGGGATGGGGGGGATGGGAGGGCATTTGGGGGTGATGGGAGAGGGATTGGGGGTGATGGGAATGGGATTGGGGTGATGGGAATGGGGATTGGGGGGGGAGGGGGATTGGGGGGGATTGGGGGTGATGGAAAGGGGGGTTCATTGTGATGGAAGGGGGGTTGGGGTTCAGGTGATGGGGTGGGGATGGGGGGTGACAGGGGATTTGGGGGGGATAGGAGGGGGATGGGGGGTGATGGGAGGGGATTCGGGGGTGATGGGAATGGGATTGGGTGATGGGAGGGGGATTGGGAGGGTTTAAGTGATGGGAAGGGGATTGGGGGTGATTGGAATGGGATTGGGGTGGGCTCAGGTGACGGGATGGGGATGGGGGGTGATGGGAGGGGGTTTAGGGGGATTTGGGGGTGTTTGGAGTGATGGGAGGGGGATTTGGGGGTGTTGGAGCAATGGGAGGGGGAATTGGGGTGATGGGAGGGGGATTGGGAACGATATGGGAGGGGGATTGGGAACGATGGGGGTGTTTGGGGCCTTGGGAAGTGGATTTGGGGTTGGATTGGGGTGTGTTTGGGGCAAGAACCCCCCCCTTTTTGGGGTGTCCACCCCATAACCCCTCCCGTGTCCGTCCCCCCTCCACCCCATAGAGACCCACCGGACGGTGCTGAACCAGATCCTGCGTCAATCCACGACCCACTTGGCCGATGGCCCCTTCGCCGTCCTGGTCGACTACATCCGAGTCCTGGACTTCGATGTCAAGCGCAAGTACGAGGCCGGGGCCTTGAGATGGGATGGGGGGAAAGGGGGTGAAATATAGAGGGGGGTCCCCTAAAGCCTGGTTTTGGGGTGCTCCCCCCCCCCCAGGTACTTCCGTCAGGAGCTGGAGCGGTTGGATGAGGGCCTGCGCAAGGAGGACATGGCCGTGCACGTGCGGCGCGACCACGTCTTCGAGGACTCCTATAGGGAGCTGCATCGGAAGTCCCCCGAGGAGATGAAGAACAGGCTGTGAGTGCCCAGAGACACCCAAAGTACAGCCAGAGACACCCGAAATACACCCACAGACCCCAAATACACCCAAACTACACCCAGAGACACCTGAAATACACCCGGAATACACCCAGAGACTCCCAAAATACACCCAGAGACACCTGAAATACACCCAGACACACCCAGAATACATCCGGAGACTCCCAAAATACACCTGGAGACACCCAGAATACACCCAGAGTACACTCAGAGGCACACGAAATACACCCATAGATGCCTGAAACACAGCAAGAGACACCCAGAATACACCGAGACACCCCAAATCCACCCAGAAACACCCCAGATCCACCCAGAAACACCCCAGAAGCATCCCAAAATCCACCCAGAAACACCCAAAGATACATCAACACCCCAAAATCTAAGGAGACACCCAAAACCCACCCAGAAACACCCCAAATCCAGTGCAAAACCACCCCAAATCCACCCAGAAACACCCCAATGCAGTGCAAAACCACCCCAAATCCACCCAGAAACAGCCAAAATCCCCCTACAAGCACCCTGAAATCCACCCGGACACACCCCAAATCCAACGCAAACACCCCAAATCCACCCAGCAGCACCCAACCCCCTCTAACCCCCCCCAAACCCCCCATTTCTCCCTCTCTCCCCCCAGGTACATCGTGTTTGAGGGCGAGGAGGGGCAGGACGCGGGGGGCCTGCTGCGGGAGTGGTACATGATCATCTCGCGGGAGATGTTCAACCCCATGTACGCGCTGTTCCGCACGTCGCCGGGGGACAGGGTCACCTACACCATCAACCCCTCGTCCCACTGCAACCCCAACCACCTGAGCTACTTCAAGTTCGTGGGGCGCATCGTGGCCAAGGCCGTGTACGACAACCGCCTGCTCGAGTGTTACTTCACCCGCTCCTTCTACAAGCACATCCTGGGCAAGTCA